GTACAATGTACTTGTGAAAGTTTTATACAAAGTACTTTGTACCTAACTGGAAGTTTATGAAAAAGTGAATTTCGTTTTCATATATTGAATGTAAAATCTCAGTTAATGCACATTAATTCATTAAAGTGTCGCGGTGTATTCTAAAATTATCTCTGTCTTCATAGTTGTCATCATAGCTGCATGTATCGACAACTAATTATCATAATGTGGGTGTCCAGAAATTTTAAAATGTCATTTCCCATTTCCCTGATGTAATCTATTTTAAAAAACACGTAGATTTTTTTTCAAGTGCACTTATTTAAGGGGTAAAGAAGAAGGATGCCAAAGAATTATTTTCATTTTAAGAAATTTTGCCCTTCAGAAAGTAGACATTTTAATATATCTTACGCATTTCCCTTTTTTTTTTCTTTTTTTTTTTTATTTCAGATAGTTCAAGTACGCCATTAATATTGAAAGGTTCTAAAAAATAAAAATGTATGACTGTTGTTTTGTAACCTCCCCCTCCCCCCAATAATAAAAACAAAAACATCACGAATATCACCCTCTCCCCAATGTCCACTATCCATTACTATAATCTTTACAACATGACGCTTATCAATGGTCTTAAAACTGTTTCATCTTAATGTCATAAGCAACATTTTTTAAAAAACCAAAATTTAAATGTATTCCAATGCAATAGTTTCACCGTAATGACTGGACATGATATATAATTGAAACTTGAAATTCATTGTCTCGTAGCCTTAGAAACACAGCCTTCAACTACAAAGATAGCAGAGAAAAGGCATTTGAATTCAAATATATATCTATGTTACCTTTTTATTTCACTGTTAAAGGATACACTTGTTGAGTTCAAATTTGATGTAGTGATAATTTAAATAGCTAATGAAACTGAAGCCATGCAAATCTATTCGATAGATTCTTTTGAGACTTGAACAGAAGTTCCTATTTTTTTTTAACTAAGTCTCATTTGACTTTCTCAATCTAAATCAGTAAGCAAAGATACATTTAAAGGTTTTTTTCCATTAGGTGACCTTTACGGTTTAGTACATATAATTGAAGCTAGAGGGACATATACATGATAATGACGATAGGTAGGATTTTGGTCGAAGAAAACTACCCCCAATCTTTGAAATACATTGTTGAAAACAAGTCACACAATTTGGAACAAAGAAACATTTTTACTTTGAAATTAGGAAAGTAGGAAAACTGTCCAATAGTAAAGGTATGTTCTAGATTGCATGAAAAAGCTACACAGGAACACTAGTTCCGGTTTTGAGATAAATAGTCACAATTTGAATTTTATTCTAAAGATTTTCTACTGATAAAGATATTGTATAAAATTTCAAAAATGAAAGTTTTTTGAAAGTAAAAAGCATTTAAGCATTTTTACTTATGCAATGGAAAGAAATTATTCACAACCTTAACCCAATAGTCCAAAATTAAATAAAAGGAATCCACAGAACTGAACTTGAAACTTTTAATTATTTATATGATTTAGCTTGGCCCGCTTCTTCTACTCTTTAATATGATTTTGTTTATTTTCTCATGAATATTAAGCCCCAACCTTCCCCCAGTGGTCATGACTTGAGTATTGGGGGGGGGGGTGCTAGCATATTAACAATAATCATGGACCAGTGGTTCTTGAGAAGATCGTTAAAGATTATGAAAAATTTTCTTTAAGATCTGAAACTTACACTCAACGTTTAGGAAATAACAGGAGAAGAATAAATAAATTAATTTAAAAGTGAGGTCGATTCTTGCCGTGCAAGTCTGCAGATAAATCCGGTGATGTTGACATCATAAAAATAAAATTTCCAGATGGTAGCGACAGTGATGTTCAATCTGTAATCAGGAAGTTTGTATAGAAATTTCAGTTGGTGTGTATGTCGAACTTCCTGTCAACTGGCGATGTAATTGATACAACATATCCTTCCCCTTACTAAAACAATGGATTTAAAACTCTATCATTGTGTTTACATGAAGTGAAAGTTGCGGGTATTTGGGAAGAGACCTTAAAAACCGAGGTTTTGGGTTACAATTAACGACTTTGTCTACTTAAATATCCAAATATGAAACATATTATGTGCCCTACTCTGTAATATCTTTATTTGAAGTTCACTGGGATGTATCGAGTCGACAATGGAAGTAACTATTGTTAATTGATAATACATCGTCGATATACCGGTATCTAAAAGTCGAGTTGAAGTCCACAGCAAATGTCTTTTTTCTTCTTATGTATAAGTTCTTGAATAATTTCTGCTTCATATGAATACAAAATAGGTTTGCTAATAACGGAGCAAAATTGGTCCAATGGGAATTCCGACAGATTGTCGGAAGACCTGATCCCCAAAAACTACGTAGATATTATTAATTAGAAACTCTCGCATCTTTTTCATATCTACTTCAGAGTACTTATGTGTACAATAAGAATGTTTCTTTTAAATTTGCAAATGACCAATAACAAGGTACCGGTTTCGTTTTAATTGAAAAAGCAGCTGTGTATGATGTCAAAAAGCCGGTTGCCCTTTTCAAATAAAATCTTGCAACTAAGGTACAAATTTTAGTACTCTGTAATATCTTTGTTTGATATGTTATTACTTTTTTTCTAAAATCATTATTCACAGTATATTGCTGTGTAGTAGAAATATAAGATTTTTGGTTACCTACTATAGCTTAGACAATTTTTGGAGTCGCCCGCGTGGCGCAGTGCTAGAGCGTTCGCTCTAGAGTCTCGGAGTAAGGAGTCGATCCTTACGTCGCGGGTTCGAATCCCACTGTGGGACGTGGAGACCGGTCCTTCGGATGAGACCGTATAAACCGAGGTCCCGTGTTGCAGGATGTGGTGGCACGAAAAAGATCCCTCACTGCTCAATGGCCCTGAGTGCCGAGCATGGGTCAAAAGAACAAGTCTCAGTAAGGCTTATCTGTGGTCCCCGGTTACTCTTCAAATTTCGAACATTTATTAAAACTTTTGAAAATTAAATTTTATTATTAACTAATGTCTTTATTATTTGAATCATCATCTTAAAATGTCAAACGATAGATAGAGGCAGCATACGAAGCTGCACGTTGCAGATAGGGTCCTTTGCATTGATTTTCATGAAAAGCAAAAAGAAATCAGTGACAGGTACGCACTTCAAAGCTTTCGTAAACACCGAGCACAGGTTTGTTCAGAGTCGAGTTTGAAATATGATATGTATATTATATGTGTAAAGGTTGAGTGAAAATATCTTTGTTGAACAATCTTGTGCTCTATGTTTTCTAATTAAAAGTATTGTGATTTTGAATCTCTTCGCTGACTTCATTTACATACGATTAACCTCTTTATGACCGATTTAGAATCATAACAAGCCACGTGGATTTGTATCGTTACGGGTAAATGCACCAAGTAAACGTGCTAGTTCTCAGCTGAAACGTACTCAGTTTAATATCGATCAGCATGACCTTGTTTTAGCTTTTATTGCCAAAGTTTTGTAAATAGAGAAATTGTCTTTGTAGTTGATTGTGAATCTTGAACGTATAATTCGTCTTTGAAAGAAAAATATCATACCAAGATCTTCTATTTATAGTATCTAATCTAAATGTCTCCGCCAATTTCTATGTATTAGAGAAACCTTTGTCTGATCGGGGGAAAATGTTCCGGCATTTTTTAGGTGTTAAAAATAGGCTTGTATCTTTTCATATGTTTATTTATTCATTATAAATACATAATGTTTTAATTAGAAATACTTCGTTATACACAATGAAAACAAAGTACCGTATGCTAATATTTAACCGGTAAACCAAGGGTTTAAAAAGGGATCAAACTACTATTCTTATGTAGAATACTCCTTTGTAGCTCTCCACTGCCAAGTGGTGGCGTCTCCATATGAGTGAAAAATTCTCGAGAGGGACGTTAAACAATAAACAAACAAACAATTTTTGGAGAATTGGAATTGTATTGATTTAGTGGTAAGATGTTTTATGAAAAGGTCCAATGACAAGGTTAGTATATTACCACTTGCAGAATTAAATCCCAGTTTCTCTAAAATACAATTAAAATGGGCCTTACAAACAAAGACAATGTTGTTACGTGCTCTGTCAGTACATATTACATACTGATCGTGTAATCTATCTAATTCTTTCTTTTTCACTTCTGAATTAGTTAATTATTATTGGAGTGATAAATAACTATGAAAAAGTATAAAGTGGGTCGTACTTTTATTAATGTAAGAAGTACTATATAGAAATATACCCGCTACATATTATTTGAAACTTAAAATCTTTAATATATACATGTATATTTAGAAAAAAATCAGATGTACTGTATAGTGAATATGAATTTGAATGAAAATGTCGAAAATGCAAAGTGTACTCTTTCTAAATTTTACAGTGTGACAACAAAATATTTATCGCCAGAAAAAAAAATCTTATACATGTTATACTGCATTTATTCATTTTTTTTGGACAAACATGCTTACATAGGAACTATATCTTCTGGCGTCAGACCTGACTAAATTTACATGCTAAACGAGCTAACAACGTGACTTAAAACAGACAAATCAGCTGAATGAGTTGAATTGATTATGGGTTACTAAAAACTATAGGAATTGTTCGCTTGAAAAAAAAAATTAAATCTACACACGATCTTAAAGTCACAATAAACATTTTTCATGCATTTCGTAGATGAAAAACAATATGCCCCTATGGACATCATCAGTCCCCGCCATTTCCTTGATGCTAGAGATGCTGAAAGTGTGCCCTTTGACCTTCTACGATAGTGTGTCATGGAGATAGATGATTGGGATGGGAATTACCCATTCCACACAAATAGATTGTTAAGGTCTTCCGTTCCAACGGAAGACCTTCTACTGATTCTGATGGTTAAGATTATTCTTCTTTTTTTCTTCTTTTTCCTAGACGCCAACTTTGAGACCTCATATCTCGCTCATTTCTCAACGGATTTTGCTCAAATTTGCAGAGTATATAGACGTTACAAAACTCTATCAGAATGCTGTCAAACATTTCAAAAAGTCACTTCCGCTTTTGAGTTATTTCCCTTTAAATGAAAATTTAGGAGGCTTCATTTCCAGACAAAGGCTCAGAGACTACAAAAGCTGGAGCAGAAATTCTACCGAATTTAAATAATAGAAGAATTGAAGTTGTGCACATCGCTTTTTGTTTTTCGATTTCTGTATTCAAAATGGCGCTATATAGGGGTCAAAAATTAGAACGCCTAAAAGAGCGAAAATTTAGACATATTTTCCTTTTTATCTTTAAAACTAAAAATATTTTGATAAGACATGTAGAATAAAAGTGGTGTACAATTTTAAGGCCTTTCATTTGACACCACTAAAAAGGGGCTGGCCCCTCAAATTAGGGATATGGAGCCCTTTGAAGTTTTTGCTTTATAACTCAAAAAAGGTAAATATTTCGAATAGGCTGTCGTTAAAAAAAGTTGTTCTTTAACATCTTATTGATCTCATGAAAATAATATTTTGTTCGAGTCTTGTGTTTTAAATGCGCCAGAAGCTTGACCCATATACAGGTAACTGTTTTCATTCAGCAAGTAAACGAGAGCTCTTCATGCGTGTAACTAAAATAAATTTACTGTAAATAATAAACCTGGCTACATTAGATGTTAATATTCTTTAAGATTAGGTTCTTGAAGTGTTTTGTGCTTTATTTCCAAGTTATTTTTTGACAACTTTTCCTTTTATTTCATTTTTTTTCAAAGTCGAATAAACCAGTCTACTAAAAAAAGGGAAAAAAAGATAACCCTTTCTTCTTATCATATAAAAACAAGCAATATAGTGAGAAAATAAAACAACTTTGAAGCATAGACTATTCACAGCCATTAAGTGCACGCCTTTTACATCCACCTTGTGTGTTTACAATTATGTAACACCTCCCTCGAAAGCGCGTGGCAAAGGAGGTCACCGGGGAACAATCGGCGTGTGATCCAGCGACCTAGTCATACACAAAACAAATCATTATTTCACAATATCTTTGATTAAATCGCTAGTGCATTTCATTTAATATTTTATTCGCTGAATTACAGGAGAGTTGCATTATTATTTTTATAAACAATTTATTTCTCGATATCGAGGCAGGGACCTATATACTAGTATATAGGTCCCTGATCGAGGTAATTGTCTGTTTTATTTAAAATAAAATTTAAAATATGTTACCTTAATTAATTCCTTCTAGTAATAGAACTTTTGAAACCTAAATGTACATGTATGTAATCTAATATAAGTTCTTTTGTCGACGCCCTTAAAATGTACAACTGTAAATATACAAAGCGCCCCACATATATGCATGTCGAGCGTATGGAAATACAAAATCCCACATTCACACGCGCCTCCAAAATATGTAGAATGAGACATACATACGTAACTGTATTTGAATATTACAAATTTATTAGACTCCTAACCTTGAAAAAATTATTTTTTTTCTACTGAACTTGTTTTTGTATGTGAACAGAATGATAAACATGTAATTATTTATAGGTTCCCATTATTTTTTCTGAAAATCAGAACACATTTATCAGCTCTCTTAAGGTTTTACGGACACATACAATGTACACGCATGCAAGTACAGAACATGCAAGTTTTATAAGTGCATATGCAAGAGCGCCCCCAAATAAATGCATATCGAGCGTTTGAAGTACAGAAAAATTCTAAATCCCGAGTCTTTTTTTTTATTATTATTTTTGCAATAAAATATCGGTGAAACTGAAATGATTTTATTGATTTACAGCATATATTAAAGTGAATTATAGGTCCGCCGAGTTGATCATGAGTTGTTTTATAACGGGTAGTCCTCCTGGCCAGTCATTGTCACGGTTTGTAACATCGTAATTACACAGGTAAATACTAAGATGTCAATCTATATATTTTCCATAAGAAATGAATTACGAGGAGATGTCTCGTTTTCTCTGACCATATATTAATTGACAGTGTTTATGAACAGCTGTTAAAACACAAGCCTTTGTAAACTGGTAAATCACAAAAAAAAAAGAAAAATCCGAGACATAAAAAACATAGAAAATATAAATGTCCCTGGAAATAACATTGTCTTTAGATAACTAAAATAAATTAATGTCCGCCGATTTTTGAATTAATCATTCATTGATGTGTACCTGTACAGGCAGTGTGTCACTTTTTTTTTAAGCCTTCGTCCAAACGAACAATATAGTAAATCTTGAATGAATCAACTAACCCCTTCAGTACACACACATTCGCGTACACCAGAAATATAATCAAAATCAGATCTTTTTTACGGCCCGAAATTCTGATAGTCGCTGTATTTCTAATCTGATTGACTATACATGTACCTTTAACAAATATTCTTTAATTTTCTTCGGGACCCCTGCATCACTAGTCAGGTGCTGTACCGACTGAGCTACCCAGGGCGATATCCTCGACCCAAACCACTACAGTTTTATTAAATAACATCTTCATTTTCTTTTCTTTAAATCCTTTTTTTTAAAAATAAATTTTTAACTTAATTATAAGAAATCCATGCAGGTGCTCCACGTATCAATTATTGTGATAGAAGTACTTACCACGTGATCTGATCATAATGCATTCATATTGGTCAACTCTGTGATGCATGGTGTGTATTTATCAAACCTTTCAAAATTTTTCCTCTTGATCACATCTTTCAGTGTATAAAAAAGTCAAACTACTTCCTGTCAATTTTGAATATCGCCACCGCACGTGTATTTTGAATACCAATTTCATTATTTTCATCAATAATACATATCCTTTTAGCCTGTCATTTTCGGATTTTTAAAAACTAAACTTCACACAAAAAATCACGGACTTCTTGTTAAGTTATAATGCAAACAAACGACTGAAGCATCTTGAACACAAGAAGGGTGGGTGGGGTGCATAACTACATGTATAAAATAAAAAAAGCAAAGGCGGATCCAGGGCCGGCGCGCCGGGCGCAGCCCCTCCCCCTCCGTTTGAATTTTTTGTATGTAGAACTTATATGTCCATAATCCTAAAATCAAGGAATAAACATCTCTCATTTGTAAGAATTTGTCAACTTCTGGGGGCTTCGCCCCTGGATCCCCACCAGGGCTTTGTCATAGACCCACTGGGGGCTTCAATGCAGCCCCCCAGACCCCTCCCCTGACATCTACTTTGCCCCTGTTATGAAATTCCTTGATCCGCCACTGCAAGGGGCGTAATAAGCAAGAATAATATGGCTTTGAAGGGATGTGATCTTCGGTATTGGTACTTTTATTTATGATATATACACAAAGACCTCTAGATCTACACGACAGAAATAAAGCTTTAGCGACAGCTTTGCTTTAAAACATATAGCTACTTTTCGATACAATCATAGAAAATTATAAGTATTTAGCAAATCTTTGCTACAAAGCACAAACACCATAATATTAAACTTGACATGTAACTAAAATTATTCCATCAATAATCCACAAACATACATTAAAAGGATTATAAATATCTGTAGAAATTAAAAAGCATTTGGAATTTAAAAAAAAAAAAAAACTGTCGGCGAGTTTCTTATTGCTGCTATTGCGTTGAACATGCCATTTGATTAATAATCTCTCTATATATGCCAGGACAGACATCTATACATGTTACTTTTCAGGAACGTAGCATTGTTTAAGGAAAATTGCCCAAATTTCTATTTCCTGGCGGAGTCGCCCACGTGGCGCAGTGGTTAGAGCATCTGCTCTAGAGTCGCAGAGTAAGGAGTTGATCCTTACGTCGCGGGTTCGAATCCCACTGTGGGACGTGGAGACCGGTCCTTCGGATGAGACCGTATAAACCGACGTTAAACAACATACATACAAAGAAACAAACAAATATTCCCTGGCGGAAGCGGGTGGGGGCAACGGGACTATACTGCAACAAAAAGTGGGGGCCAACGGGGCTTTCAATGAACATTACTAAAGTAAAAAGTTAGGTCTGAAAAGGGGGAGGGGGGGGGGGGCTGATGCTACTGCCTGCTCTTATAGCTCATGCTTTATTTGGTCTGCAATATCATAAGTTTACTTGATTGAAAACAAAACCTCGGAGTCTCTCTTATCCTTTCGACAGCCTTAGCTTTTAGTTTGACCAACTATTCAAAATTTAGCCTTTTGAACAATTGACGTTAGGGCTTTCATACTTCACATCCGAAATTCTTTGTCACGAGACCTTTCCTTGGGAATACCAGTAAATATTTTTGACCTTGTGACCTTCACCTTGGAGTTTGACCCACTTTTTAAAAAAATTAACCTTGGCAATACCTTTTGAACGGTTGGGACTAGCTTTTTCACATTCACATGTGTATTCCTTGTGACAACGCCGTTCATTGGATATCAAAAATTTTAACTATTTGACCTTTACCTTAGAGTTTGACGTACTTTAAAAAAAATAAAAGTTTTGACTTTTTACCTTTGACCTTAGAGTTTGACCTACCTTTGAAACATTTAATCTCATTCATAACTTTTCAACGGTTGGTGTTAGGGTTTTCATATTTTTACATGTGTGTTTCTTGTGACAAGACCCTCCCTTGAGTTCCGACAGTTTTGACTTTTGTCCTTGACCTTGGGGTTTGACCTACTTATGAAAAAAAAAACGTTGACCTTTGCCATAACTTTTGAATAATTAATGCGAGGGCTTTCATATTTCAATGTCTATTTCTTGTGACAAGGCATTTCTTTGGACACCGTTAACCAATCCTTGACCTTAACATTTGACTTGAGTATAAAAAAAATAACCTTTGCTATACATTTCAATAGTTAGTCCTAGCGGTTTCATATTTCACAGTTATATTCGCTGAGACGAGATCTTTCTTTGGGTAAGATAATTTTTTATCTCTTGACTTTGACCTTGGAGTTGGATACAGATTTGAGAAATTTAAACCTTTGCCATAAGCTGCAATACCGGGGCATCAGTGTTTCACAAACACGTCTTGTTCAATATCCAAACTGGACAAAAACATTCACAATGAATCCTTAAATCATTGTGTGGAACATGATAAATTATTTGACTCGATCTATGGTCTGAAAGAACATGGCTGAACTTATCCAGTCAATAACTCACAGATTGGGATTTTTCTTAAACAGTTTGTGTTATGGTCTTAATGAAAGGTCATTTGGACGAGTTTGGATGAAAAACTATAAATTCGTTACCGTCTTTTTCTAGTGAAACATTGTTGGTATCATGCAGAGTGTGACATGGCCTAAACTCAAGTTCAAGGTCACTAAGGATAAGATATTTTGACTGGATGTATCGAGTGTATGAACATGTGT